TTAATAGATAATAGGCAAGGGTGTATTGTTATATAAATCTAATAAATGATTTTATTTGATACTTTCAAAGATGACATTAAATATTTTTATATATTTATTTTAAGAGATTTTCTTGGATATTTTGTTTTCCCTTTAAAAAACCACCTTAATCTGCCACTGAGGCAAACACACCTAGCTGGCTTTAAAGAACTGCCGCCAAGTCAGCATATTTGAGTCTTTGCTTTTGCCGGAATTTTGTGCAAATAAACAGACAATTTTAATTTACCTTTTTCTGTTTTACTGTGCACTGCGCCCTTGGAGCTCGCCGACTGTGAGCATTTTTTTCCATTTGAAGTGAAATCGAGACAGGTCGAGACCGACCAGCAGCCGCGAACAACCTTTGGCATCGCACTGAGGTCGTCGCAGTCGTCGGTCCCTCAGTCTTGTGCTGAATTTTTAATTTGCCTGGCAAACAGCGAGGAGCAGAAGGCGAAAGCGAAGGATACTACTGCCACCTTTCGCTGATTTGATGAAGGTCGCACTCATGGCAGCGGGATATGGCATCACCATCGCCATCGCCATCACCATCGCCATCTCAAGTTGGTCTGTTTTGGGGGCGGAAGGTTAAGTGCCGAGGGCTTGTACCTTCTTCTTGGGCTGTGTTTTTTGGTCGAGTGTCCTACAAATTGAAATGTATGTTGGCTGCAGTCGTTCTTACAACCCGTGTTGCATTTTATTGTGGCAGGCCGGCTGTGACACGCATACATAATTTACATTACCCATGTGCGGGTGTTGAATTTAATTACAATTTCAACTGCTGCAAATGCACCATGATGCACAAACTCACTGAGAGCAAAAGCAACCGAATTCGCATTGGTTATATATTATTTTATTGTATTCAAATTGATTGTAATTAAGACAATGTAGGGCTTCCGCATCTTGAATTACATTTGGTAAAGTTATTTTTAGAATACAATAAATAAACACAATTGTAAGCTGTTTCAAAAAATGTATTAAATATACATTTAAATATATACACAAAATATTTATATCAATTTTCAACAAGCGTTTTATATTACAAATTGGGTATTGATTTTGTAAGATACTTGTTTCTGTTTCATAAATTTATTCTACTAAGTTCCCTATTTCCCAAATCATTTATTAAACCAACATGTTCTGAAAGATACATCCGTGATATGCCTCAAATGTAAGTGCAATACTTAAGGCTGCAGTAAAGATATTGTTGTCTTTTTCGCTGTGCACACACAATACGCACCGACTATTGATAATGCCGGCCAACGGCACGTATACGCAATAACATTAAATTGGCATTGGCGGAGCTCTAAAAATATGGCCACACTCGAATGCAGCAGCGGCAACTCGAGGCGGAATTGCAGCGGGAAAAGAAGAACTGCTGCTGACCCACTTTGACTTTGGCTTCATAACTAATTCACGCACACACCGGCATGCCACACACACTAACACACTCGTCGAGAGAGAGTCACACACATGGGCAGTACATAAAACATTGTGTTACATGGACCTTCAGGCACCTGAGCGCGATGTGTGCCTCGAATTGGGTCGGAATGGGTTGGAATGGGCCAGAACGGGTTGGAATGGCTCAGAATGGGTTGGAATTGTTCGGTTCAACTTGGATCGGTGGAGAAAGTGGGCAGGGGGCGGGGTTAGGAGGGTCGAGTCGGGGTGTTGCAATATAATTAAGGTGGAATAACTTACGAGTGTTTGTGCCCGGGCTCGTGTGTCTGTGTGCGGAGTGAAGTGTCTGTTGCGTTTAAAATTGATGCGATTTAAGGGTAAGCGTGTTAGCGAGGAAATGCGGTTGCAACAATATTTTAGCCGACACAATGGTTCAGCCCTTTAAATGGAACCCTCTTTTCAGATTTAACCACCTCTTCCCTACGAGTATTTTACTGCAATTTTGAACTTGAACAAGGTATCTTGTGACTTTAAGATTTAATAACTTTAAATTAAGTAAATTCCTTTAAAAGTTTAAACTTTAGTGAAGCAAATATGTAAATAAAGATGTCAATTTAATATATTATCAGTATAGCCATTAGACAAAAATGTAAACTATTTCAACCTATTTGATTTGGTCTTCTAAAATAGAGAACAAAACCTTTGTTCGCTTTAAGTATATTATCAAGACAACTTGCAACTTTAATAGAAAAACTGCTAGTCACTCTTACATCAGTGTAAAATCGAAAGCACATAGGTTAAACAGCGGGGATTCGAACAAACAGGCAAGAATGTTAAATATGAAATTCCATTTTCCATTGACCAACTCTCATTTTTTATTTGCTTATGTCAAAGGGGGAAAACCAATCGAAGAAATAACGGAATAACGAAAATTTTATGCTGATTAAAATCTTATGTCATGGCTAAGCCCAACGACAGACAGACAGGCATGCAGACAGATGGACATGCAGACTGAGATCCACAGATCCACAGAGGTCCACAGCTCAAGGAGGCACATCCGTCGTCCGTCGTCCTCGTTGGCCACTAAAAGAAATTCCCCATTCAAATGCGAATTCGAACAACTTGTGTACATTCGTGCAAACTCAATCTAAAGGCCATATACATAAACTGCAAGATGTTCTCGACGTTCCACACGTTTCACCTACATTTCCGCCTAACAACCCACCAAGCCACCCAACATATGTATGTCCAAGTAACATTGTTAGGAGCAGAAGGAAAAAAAGGCAAGCCGCTTACTTAGAACGGAAATTTTTATGTCCCTCAACGTCAAACCCATTGCAGTAAGGACTATGTCCTTTTTGCCGGTTGGTTCATCTTTCGTCCTGCGAAATGCACGTTGAAAAGTTGGGCCATCTCTAAAGGTGAATTTATGGGTTTTTGCTTTCAAATTCACTTGTTATCAAAACAGTAGGTAAAAAATAAGATAAAGGAGTTAGGAAAAATATAGAAACTTGTTCCTTTTGTAAATATATCATCGTGCTATCGATTTCTATTACTATTTTTAGTACATCCTGCAAGCCAACATCTAGTATTACCTCAAAATTGATTTTATTTTCCCCTGTGTAAGCTCAGCGCTTTCTTAACATCCTAGTTTCATCGATTTTGTAGTGTTCTCTCGACCTGCAATGCACTCAATGCGTCTGGCACTTTGAGAGCATCGCTTAATGACTAATTTGTCCTGGCAACCTGTGTGTGTGTGTGTGTTTGTCCGACAGTCAGTCATTCACTCAGTCAATCAAGTTTGTTGCATAATAAACTTTTTTAACATTTCTGCTGGCCAATTGGCCTTTTTCATGCGAATGCCCTGGCCCTTTGAAGTCGAGGGCCAAGCAAAATGAATCGAAGCCAATCGATATTTGTGATTATTTAATAAACTCAATTACGAGGACATGAACCGCCCACTAAGTGCGTGTGTATTGATCCCCCCTTCCCTCCTTCAGCCCGCTGCAATTGTGGGGTTAATGCACTTTGGCCTGTTCCTCGAACCAATCGAATGTCCGTCATAGTTAAAGTTTTCTGGCGGGAGCAGGGCGGGAGTCAGGCGGAGTGCAGTGGAGTGGAGCCTTCAACTTTTCCAACTGACATTTTTAATTCGTGGCTAATTTGACATTTAAGGATGCATACAAAGCTTGCAATTGTGTGGGACAAAAAAGTTGCTGAAAAACTTTTTTGAGCTATGGAAAAACTGGCAATTAAATGGCTAGTAAACATTTTCCGCATTCGATTCGATTTTTTAAACATATTTTAATTTGACAGTTTTTTACGAGCACATACAAAAAGCAGCTTACAAGGCCAGAAAATATTCTATAACCTGGGCAACAACTACATCGAATTCTATATTTACTTTGTATGCTGCAGGCAGTTGTTGCTGCTGCTGTTTACGGCACGTAGCAACGCTCAGCAAACATTTAATTCGAGTCAAGTTGGCAGCAAGAAACTGAGACACACACGTCCCATAACCCCCTCTATATATATCCCCTCTATAAAGCCCTTCTATAACACTCCCCCCACAAAGTCTGTCTGTCTGCCTTGCCACACAATAAAATGCGAAACAAAACCTCAATTCAAAGTGAATATAAATTGTTTTACAGCTGACGTTTGCTTTGAATTTCAAATTGTTCCCACACCGACAGCATGGCAAAATGTTAACCCCCTGGCGACCCCGTGGGAGCTTTGGGACCACTCAGCTGCATCGATGGCTGGCGAAAGGTCATTGTGTTAATTGGAGCGTAAGTGATGATGATGTCCTCCACTATCTCTCAATTGCCAAACCCTCGGGCGGAGTCCTGCTGCCCATTGAGCCATTAAATATCGCTTGGCAATTAGACCTGGCCATTTTTAGTGGCACTATGAATAGGCAATGGGCCACAAGCCGCACTCCGATGCAGTCGAAGAAATGTGGTTGTATTATTAACCATATATTATTAGGAAGGTCAGCTAGGAAAGGTTGGGAAATATAACATTTATAGTACTTTAATCTTGTTAAAGAATATGGTTTGAATATCTTGCTCTTATATTAAAAAGGTATTAACTTGAATAGGTAGTTTTAGAACTTTTAATTAACAAAGGTTTAGAGGCTTACAAAAATTAAAAGGATCTTAAAAATTTGATCAATAGTAAAATTTTCGTTTACCTCAAATGTGAGCTAAATAATTTTAAAAATGAACTTTATAAATAGTATTTGTTAATATTGATTACTTCGTTGTTTGTATTACTCTATTAACGTCTGTTTTTTGGGACTATCTACCATTTTTAAAGGTACTTATAATATATTCCAAAATATATAATTTTAGCCATCCGAAAGCCGTAACAGCTAAACTCATTAGTAGCTTAAGCTTATAAAATTCCACATTTCTCTGAATTATTATTATTATTATATTATTTTTATATTATATAATTATAATACTACTTAAATTATAGTACCTTATTTGTTCGGTTTAAATGACTTTTTCCAGTACTTCAGTAGGTTTACCAATTTGTGTAGTTCGTTTTTATAAATTTAAGGTTCCCCAGTGACCACTTACCCGATCGTCCGATGGCCAGATCCGTCTCCAAGGCCGTTGTGGCCGAGGAGAGCGACTTGTCGGTGGGCAGGGCGGCGGGCGGCATGGGCAGCGGACCCACCGTGGAGGTGGTGGTCAGGTCGCAGCACTCGCGCTCGGGGAACTCGCTGCCCAGCGCCAGGTGCAGTGCACCACCGAACAGCACCACCCACAGGCTGAGGCAGCTGGAGAGGATTTTCAGGTTTTTTATGCGAAAGCGGGTCATGTTGTGGCCGTATCCTCCTCTTCCGCCACTTCAAATGTTGGTTAAAGTTGATTCGTTCTATTTGCTTTCACCACTGTCGTCGGTGGCTTAATTTGGGTTTATTTTCATATTTCGCAGTTCACATTCTTTTGGGTTTATTTTACTTTTGCGACTGTATCACTTCTGTTTGCCTTTAAATAAATGCAGATTTTAAAGCTGAACATTTTGAAGAACAAACTCTCTTCGCCGAATGCCAAAATGTTGACTTTAAAATAACTCTGGCACTGTGCTGGCTTTGTGAAAGCCGGGAAAACTGGGCAATGGAAAACTCTCGAACTGAGTGGAACAGAAAGTGCAGGGGGGAAAATACAGAGGACGGGGACATCACGTCGACAGTCAAACTATGAACAGCATTTACAATTACTTTCGACAAAAATGTATATAGACAACAATAGACATAATGCAGCAATAACGACAGCAACAACAGAAAAAGAAGGGGGGGCTAGACGATGGTTCCGCCCCCTGCAAACACTGAATAACATAAAAACTTTTTCATTTACAATTTGCTCAGTGGGTCTATGGCCATGTAGCGAAAACGCAGAAGACAAGCGGGTAACAAGAAAATGTTGAAAAGTTTTTTGGTAAATGCGAAAAGTTGTGGCTCCTCTTGTGGCTGTTGTTGTTATTCCTTCTGCGGCTTTTGCCTTATACCGCTCCGCTATCTAAATCCAGCGTTTCGGTGGCGTATGCGCAATATGCAGTATGCACACCAAGGCAAACTGTAAAATCCCAAGCTGGGAAAATTAATTCACTTTGCCACTTTGGCAGCGCCTTTATCGGGCAAATCGCGCAGCTCAAATGTTTGTCGAATCAATAAAAATATAATTTGCTGCGATTTGGTTCAAAGGAAATGCAAACACTCGAGTGCTAATGCAGCAGGATAGGGATAAGGATAAGGAATGGGAACTGCAGGGTGAGGAAAATGTGGAGGGGCAAACACTGCTCCTGTGCACAATCATGTAAACAAATCCCGGCGACAGAGGACTGACGACAGACAGGCAAATGCAACACGCATCTTTGGCGCAGGAAAAGCGACTTGGGAAAATTATTACCAGACATGATAGAAAAAACACACAGCACAGCGAAAAAGCAAAGGATATTTACCATCTGAGTGTTGGAATATAAAATGTTTGTACTCAAACTCAGCAAATAAATTAGGCAATGGAGTAAAATTCTAGATAGAAATGCACTTCTTACCACTACAGATATAATAAGTAATTTAAAAAGTGTATTTAAAAAAAGGATTGTTTTTATAACATTTTGAAAATATTTGTATTTGGACAACATATCTTCTGATCATTTTGATCATACAATTTTATGGTTAAATTCTTTTTAAAAAGGTCCTTGAATTCCTATCAACCTTTTTTATTCAAATGTATCTCAGGGGTGTAGTTCCAGATCTTGCTGAGTAATCCTAGAAGCATGTTAAAGTGCAGAATTATAGACCCACTACCTTTTTTCCCTGCGAAAGAGACACGTCGCAGTGCAGTCAATCACGTGGGCGTCGAGTGGGTGGCAGGGGGTTCAAAGGAGGTCGAAGGACGAAGGCCGAGGCGACGAAAGTTGCCAGTCAACGGAGCGAATGCAGGCAAACTCAGACGACAAACGGCCGGGGGAAAATGTGAATGGAGAGGCGCCAAGGCGTTTTCCGCATTTCCCTTGTTGTTTCTGCTTGAAATGATTTTTTCCAGCCAACCCGCAGTTTTTCCCATCCCAACACCCCCCTTTTTTCTCGCTGTGCAAACGCGGCCGCCGTTTGAGATGTGTTTTCAGGGCTGTCGTTTGCTTTTGAGCCAAAGTGTTGCCATAACGAGCGTAAAATGGCGGCAAAAAGACGACTATGACGACGGGCAAAGACAACATGCAACGCGCTGCTGCAATCTAAAAACAAACAGTCGCCCTTTGTGTGTGTGTGTGTGGAAAAAATAACGAAGCGAAAATTGAAACTAAAATAAAGCCATGTTTACCTCGCAAATTGTTACGTGTGAGCAGAGACGAGCAGAACGGCACAGGAGCCAGCCTCCGCCTCAAAGTTTATTTATTTAAAGTTTCAACTTTTTGCATAAGTTATCGTTGAGGCCAAAAGGCGGCCAGCAGCCAGTAGCCAGCCAGCCATCTGTGCCCTGCAATTGGGCTGGTAATGTGTAATAAATAAAGCAAATTAAAGCGCACAGACTCCATAGACCGCATGGCCAGGATCCAGGGCCAGGATCCTAGAGCGGAACCGAAAGTCCGCTCTCAGCTCACCAGCTGTGCAAATATCTGTGTCAATGGCCCCCGACTTTGAGAGTCAGCTTAGCATTTAAATATATCCCCTGCCCTTTGAACCCTCGCTATCCCCAACCCCATTTAGATGTGTGTGTGGGCTGACCAAACAAGCCAATAAATGTACCACAAATTTGTATGTCAAGCTCTCCGAGTCACTGCATCGACACACTTGGCCAGTCCTCGGCCTGGAAAATAGAGAGAATGCCACATGCCTTTCACATGCCATGCCGAAAATTCGATTTAAATTGGAATTCTTCAGTTCTTAAGTCCAGAAAAGGGGCAAAAAAGGGGGGGCCCTGAGAGGGTGACACAACACTTGGCGAAGAATCCCGGGAATGCAGGACGAGTCAAGTGCATTAAATAGAACGATAGAATATCTAATTAGCCGCCTGCCAGTGTCGGGATCTCATAAAAGTTGCTCCTCCTTCGCCAACTGGCTGACTGGCAGTCAACGAAATTGCCGGGAAACTTTCGCGGCTCTGATATAATTATGTGCAACATAACAACTTGATATCCCAGTTCCTTTGAGGGCTCCTCCTTATGCGGTTGCACCTTGACGTCTCAACAGGATGCGGTGTCGAGTGACAGTCGTTGTCCTTCGGAATGTCTTCTATGCATGACAAATGCAATTGGAGCCGCCAAGTGCTCGGCTGGCAAAGTTAATTGTGATCCAGGGTAATTAACTTCCTTAAAGTCAAGGGGCGTCAGGGATTTCAGAAAACAAGACCACAACATTTAACTCATTGTAAATATTTAAAGTGGAGAACCCTTTTTTCCACATAACAGCGTCTTAAAGAAAATTATAAATAAAAATGTATTTCTCCAAAAACCTTTTAAAAACCTTGTCTTTAAAAATGTATTTCTCAAAAAAAATGATTACTTCTTAAACTGTATCTATCACATATAACAACTCATGAAATGGCGTTGTCAAAATATTTTTATGTTTTTCAATGCATTTAAATCGTTGTTAATATAGTAAAAAGCTTAAAACTTTACTCAGTACATGTGTGTAACGTTTTAAGAAACGATTTTAAAAATCTATAAATACTTTCTTTCTATTATTACCCCTCAAAAAAATCTACTTTAGGAGTCCTTTAAAAAGGATTAATTACAAAAACAGCCAACTCTTTCATGGGAAAAGTTTCGCAGAGTTTTTGGTCAACTGCTGTCTGCCTAACTCTATTCATAATTACAGGCCCGAGCGAAACTCTAATGAAATTTTAATAGGGCGAAAGTTGGGGCAGTCCGTGGGTAAACAATCAGATACGTAATGAGTGCGCAAATGTTTGCCGCTTCAAATGCAAAACTTGTTTCCCCCATTTCACTCCGCGCCGACTTGTTTGGAAATCAGCCACGAATCCGGGGAACTTATTTGGCCTGTCTGTCTTTCTGCCTGTCACGGGGTCGTAACACGGCCTCATGTATTATGTAGGGCGATTTTTATTGTTTGTGAAAGTTTAAATGGGGCTGGAGGTCGCGTCTGCGGATGCTGTCAAGTGCCCTCCCATCGTGAACTTGTCCGACCTGTCCTGCTGCCTTGATTTCCCAGCCAGTTCGTCTCGTCTCACCTTAATTCAATCATCAGCACATATGATAATTGCGAAATCACGTTCGATTTAGAGCGACTGATTACCAACTTTCTCTTTAAACTCTGCCCTTTTGCCACTATATCCTTCTTCAAAGTTCAGCCATAAAATGACAGAATCGATTGATTCCACCGTGCAGACTGATGGTGGCACTTGAAAATTCGTGTCTGGCCTCTATTTATATTTACTGTATGGTAGGTATGTTGCCATTTTATGACTTTAATTTATGAGTATTGATTTCAGGTCTGTGAATCGCAGCAGATGTCATCGCAGGTACACGAATATTTCTAGGCTGGATGGCAGGATGGGTTAGAAAACGAATCAAACATTTAAATTATACCTGGTGAGTGGAGGCCAGCAGAGTGGTTTCCCCCTAATTGCCCGCAGCTCGAGTGACGCACAAAGTCGGGAATGGTGCTTTGCCCTTTCCGATTTTACAGTTTTACAAATATCGATTGATTGCCCCGCTTAATGGGCCAATTAAAGCGATTACACAAATCGTTTTGGGCCAGCGCAAGTGCATGGAAATGGGCCAAAATACAAATTCACCTCGCATCATTAATAAATGTCGCTGCGAAGGCTACGAAAAGTCGAGCAGTGTACGACGCAGGTTAAAGGCATAATCCAATCGACCAGTGCACATACACACATGGCTCAGACCTTCAGACTCGGGGGACCTGGGCATGGACCTGGCATTAGGATAATGGATGATTACGGGGAAACGTGTGGCATGGTCTCCTCCAATGTGGCCTGGGTTTGGACTTGGGCTTGGTCTGGGTATGGGGGATCGTATCGGGATTGGGATTGGGATGGCATGGTGCCATTTACATGCAGCAGCAACGTTAGTCAAAGTCATGTCTCGCACTAAGGTATCACACAATATGCACATACCACATACCCTCGTTGGCAAGGTGCTCCTCTGGCATTTGAATACGTGGTAAGCTTCTATATAAATTCAGTTCAGAATTATTCAATATTCAAACTCGTTTGCAAATAGGGAAATGGTATAGTTATCTCAAAATTTTAGGTTAAAATCAGTTGGGAAAGATATTTCAAGCCAGGAATAAATTCAACATTCATTTTTTAGGCATTATTGAAAAATATTTATTATATATACTCGATTTTTTAAGTATTGATTTTTAGTTTGTAAAATAAAATCAAAGAATAAAGTAGAAGAAACTATACAAATCTTCAACATATATTTGATTTAGAAAAAAATGTTATATTAAAAATTTCAACGAATCATTTAGTTTCGAATCTAATCTTTTTTATAAAAT